GGTTCCCTGCAAAGAATTCGTTTTTCTGCTGTTCCTCTTCCTCTTCTTCCTCTGTTGTTGCTGGTGTGTACTGCTGCTGTGCCGGTCGACGAGGTCTGTATTGTTGTTATTGTTGTTGTTTCAGGATCAATCTTCGGCAGCAAACGTCCCAAAAAGTGGTGGCGCGCGTAAAAAGGAAAAGAAGGAGCGCCAGATGGAGAAGGTTAGGTTTTTACTACTGCATTGCAGTAGCATCTTTCGAATGCTGAAGAGCGCTGTCACGAAGACCCTGTGATTCACTGTGGCCTTTTTCCGAGCTACCATGCCCGCATGATTCGTCTTAACCATGCAGCAGCAGCAACAGTAGCAGCTTTGTTTTGTTTTCTGCGGCGGAAAAACTCTGCAAAATAGTGACCCAACGTTTTTTGCATCGAACTAAGGGGCTTGGGTGGTGCTAGTGATAAGTCACTTTTTGGAAAAACAGGAAAAAAAGTAGAAAAAAATAACAGAGAAAATTCCTTTGCCTGTGTTTCGTATTTTTCAAGAAAGAGTGTGTTATAATTGATTTGAATCTTAAATTTTGAATTTTGAAAAAAATTTTGAAATTTTGGAAAGTCTTGAAAAAAAGATAAAAAAAATTAGGCACCTAAATAAGGCAGGATATGTTAGTACCTCGAGACACAGCGACAGCTTTGCTTTAGTATAGTGTGATGCTAGAAAACAAGAAGTACCTAGAAGCGCGCGCACTTGAATCCTAGAATTATCGGGGCATTCACAAAATGACGAAGAATGGGTGAACTTTGCGAGAGTTAGTGGATGGCCAGTTATGGTCTCAGCCCCTGCTTTTTTGGTCCATTTTTGTTATTCGGCGATAAAAACAATCGTGACTGAAGCATAAATAGTTTTTTCTGTGGACCAGATGATTCTGCACGAGAAGTTCGAAGATTTGAGTGGTCTGAAAAAAAGCGAGTGCGCGGGAAGTTTTTAAAATTTATCGATATTCCCGGGTATCAGAGGCCTGATATTTCCTGGGTAGAAGGGGTGATTGGAAAGAACTTAGGCTGCTTGAGAACAAATTTGTTGAATAACTTTCGAAGCTCTTTAATTAGATTTACATCTTTCTGTTTTCTGTAGCACCCATTGTTGTTCGCTGCTGCTGAGGACAACTTAATGTGCCCACTGCCCCAGCCTCATTTCTTTTCTACTTTTGTTTTTCGACATTCCACAGCAGTCGTTGTTGGCATGCCTCTGTCCTGTGGCTGTCCTCTCGTCCTCTGTGCCCCTTTTCTCTCCTGTCACCTCTCTCAGTTATTTACTGGATACTACTGAACAGGTCAGTGGTCTCACTGACCAATGAGGCAACACCATTTATTATCCGCCCTGACATTTCCGCCACTATAGCTCGCTTCGCAGATGTTTTGTGAAGGCATGGGCAGGTCCATGGTGATCTACTGGGAAGGGAGGGAGGGCGATTTTTCACCTTCCTTCTCGCTTCGTCATTACACCTCCGCCCCCTCCACCTTCGTGAACACTAAATTCGAACTGACAAGGCTCCTGGAGGGAGGAGAGGAGGAAAGGGGGAAGGGCGACAGGGGGTACCGAGCAGACTTTTGTACAGTAAAACAACTGCAATCAAAGGCCTTCGCCCTCTCCCCCTTCCCTCCCACACACACACACACACACACACCTGAGATCGGACTGTGTGTGTGAAGGCGATGTTAAGCATCTAGCAGTATTACTTCGTCTCGCTGATTATAATCACACCAAGATGCAGGGACTGTTCCTGGCTCCGTGAGCAGGCGAGGTGATGCAGTTTGACAAGCTCAACAACAAAGGATGGGACGGGAAGAGGGGACGGGGGAGGGGGGG